GTTCCTGGCTTTTATCCCCTTTCTCCTGCTCTTCCGGCCTGCTACTCTGGGTGCGCCTGAGTTTCCTCTCCTCACCTAATCCCTTCGGCTGATTGCTCTTCTCTCTGGCTTCCTGGCTTTCAATCCCCTTTCTCCTGCTCTTCCCGCCTGCTACTTTGGGCATCCCTGAGTTGTCTCTCCTCACCTGTAACCCTGGGGCTGACTCCTCTTCTGTCCGGGTTCCTGGCTTTTATCCCCTTTCTCTTGCTCTTCTGGCCTGCTACACCCATCCATAACCTAAATGTGATGTTTATCATTCTCAGTATTTACTTACATTTGTACTAGATATATGGAGTTTGGAATATTTTTAGATTTTATATTAATGTATTCTTCTGGAAGTTGCTTTGTTTTACTCATGTTATATTTGTGAATGTCAGTCATACATGTAGCTTTGATTTATTCATTATCACATGACTTCTTCATGTTTCTCCTTATAGGAACACAATAATGCGGGAGCTTGCCCCACAGTTCCAGATCCCATGGTCCATCCCAACAGAGGCTGAGGACATTCCCATTGTTCCTACCACATCTGGCACCATGTGAGCAAAACAAAAATTCTAGAGCAACCTACTTAAGAAACTTGAGATTTCTTAAGATAGACCAGTGGCTACTTCCTGACCATGCAGAATCTCACTAGTAGAGCCTGGGTGCCTTCTAGGCAGTCTGTTTAACCCCTGCTGATAGTCTGACTCTGCTCTTTGACATGTAAAATAGGATATGATGATTTGTGGGGTTGGGGAGGTTCTGACAACATTCCCCATCCTAGGATGGAACTTCGTTGTGTCATTGCAATTATCCGTCATGGGGATCGTACTCCCAAACAGAAGATGAAGATGGAAGTGACACACCCAAGGTAGGAAGGATATCTTAATTAGACAAATAGGTTTTGATGAGGGACAGGGTAGTTCCCAGAGGCTTTGACTGACTCCACACTGAAGCTTCTCCTTACTTCTTCAGGTTTTTCACTCTATTTGAAAAACATGGTGGCTACAAGACAGGGAAATTGAAATTAAAGCGACCTGAGCAGTTACAGGTAAGGTGGTGAATTGTGAAAGGCAGTGCTATGGGAAACATAAGGGGTATGAGATTGAGGACCTTGAGTAGAGACTAGGATAAAAGAATCACTGGCCACTTGCCTTCCTAAATGGATACCCTATTATTTCCTCCAGGAGGTGCTGGACATTACAAGGCTGCTGTTGGCTGAGCTGGAGAAAGAGCCAGGTGGTGAGATCGAGGAGAAGACTGGGAAACTAGAGCAGCTGAAGTCTGTGCTAGAGATGTGAGAAGCGAAATAGGAAATGGGAGCCAGTAATGGTGAAAATTGGGTGCTGGGGTAGAAGGTAAACTGTGACTTTATGCTGCAGGTATGGTCATTTCTCAGGCATCAACCGGAAAGTGCAGTTAACTTACTACCCTCATGGAGCAAAAGGTTCTAATGAAGGGCAAGGTAAGCTACAAATACCCCATTGCTATTACCACTCATATCTCTTGATTTCTTGATCTCTTAGATGACTTAACATTAGATGCCCCACTATTTTCCTTAGATCTAGACCTATACTCAGTACCCTTTATTATGTCAGATCCACAGAGGGAAGGTCTAGCCCCATCTCTACTGCTGGTACTAAAGTGGGGTGGAGAATTGACTCCTGCTGGTCGTGTTCAGGCTGAGGAGCTGGGCCGAGCTTTCCGCTGCATGTACCCTGGAGGACAGGGTGAGTATTTGTGGTAAGGGTGGTAAGGGTGGGTGATGGGTAAATACCTAGCAGGAATAAGATAGAGAGTAAGTTTGGAGAAATGAAGGGTCAGGGGCAGTGGGGAAGTTTGAGGGGAAATAAATATTTATAGCATGAACATTTATAGCAGTCAATTTCTGGTCCTCCCCATTGCCCCCAGGTGACTATGCTGGCTTCCCCGGTTGTGGTCTACTTCGTCTCCATAGTACTTTCCGCCATGACCTCAAAATCTATGCCTCTGATGAGGGCCGTGTCCAGATGACTGCTGCTGCCTTTGCTAAGGTACATACTACCATTCTCCCACAGCCCCAGCTTCCATGAGGTAGAGAACCAAATAGTGTAGAGAACAAGTTGGAAATTTCATGGTGTTTATATTACCAACTCAGAGAAGTTTCTACTTGTGTCTGACCTCATTCTATATTACTGAGAATGAACTGGTAATAATTAGTGGGGGTAGGTCCTTGACCTCTGTTCCATTTCCCCAAATGAGCTGCCATATGATCTCTGGGATCCATATGGATTCCAGCTAGCCTGGAGAGGAAACTAATAGACCTTGTGTATCCCCTCCAGGGCCTTCTGGCTCTAGAAGGGGAGCTGACACCCATTTTGGTACAAATGGTAAAAAGTGCCAACATGAATGGGCTCCTGGACAGTGATGGTGAATCCCTGAGCAGCTGCCAGCACCGAGTGAAGGCTCGACTACACCATATTTTGCAGCAGGATGCACCTTTTGGCCCTGAAGACTATGATCAGGTCAGGCTCTCCCTATTTCTGTGCCTAAAATACCCCAGATGCCAAATTCCTAAAATTCTAAATAATACTGCTTACTATGTATTTCATGGTGTTTATATGCCAACTCAGAGAAGTTCTGGGCACTCTTCTGGGTACTGTGTATGCATTATCTCATTCAATCCTTTCAGTAACCCTTTGAGTTAAGTACAGGTTCATAGTCTCTTAGCTACAACTTCAGAACTTGAAAAGATTTTGATAAGTTTGGCATCAAGGCTCATTTGGTGGCAAAACCTTGCATGACACGAACTGTCCTATATTCCTTATTTGTACCATTCAGTGTAGTCATACATTTAGTGCAGAGATATGAATGTGTTTGGTTATGCTCCAGATCCTGCTGGAAGTGTTATATATGTCATATGCACTGTATTAACTTCCTAAGTCCAAAAAATTTTCAATTTCAAAACACAGCTTGTTCTAAGAATTATCTAACAGTTCTAGGCTCAACTGAGCTGAGGATTGTGAAAGATAATAAGATGATCGTTGTTTTAAGTAATTTAGGGTCCCTTATTCTCTGGTAGCATAGTGCCTAAGGCATTTGACTGCTAACCAGAAGGCTGGCGGTTCAAACCTACCAGCCACCCCTCAGAAGGAAGATTGGGCAATCTACTTCTATAGTGATACCGCCTCGGAAACCCAAGGAGGGGTTGCTATGAGTCGGGTCCAACTCAACAGCAGTGAGTTTAGTTGATTTATGAAATTTTAGTCACATCAACATCTGGTAGCTCAAATGGGATGCTGGAATAGCTGGGCTCTCTTTCTCTTTATGCTCTCCATGTAGTTTCAGAGCTTCTCCTCTCTATGTGTTTTCTTCCTTGTGTAGTTTCTTTGGCATGGTAGCTTCAAAAACCAAACCCATTGCTGCTGAGTTGATTCTGACTCATAGCGACCCTGTAGGACAGTAGAACTTCCCCATAGGGTTTTCAAGGCTGTAATCTTTATGGAAGTAGACAACCATATCTTTTTCTTACAGAGCGGCTGTTTAGTTTGAACTGCTGACCTTTTGGTTATCAGCCAAATGCTTAACTATAGTGCCACCAGGGCTCCTGATGGTAGCTTAGGGCTCCCTGAAAGCACAAAATTAAAAGCTTCCAGGCTTTCTTAAAGTGTATGCCCATGATTAGCATAGCTTAACTTTGTCATTTTTTATTGGTTAGGCAAGTCCAGGCCCAGGCCAGATTCAAGAGAAATGGAGGATGACAAAGAATTGAGGGCCATCTTTAACCCACAATATGGACTGTGGACCTGTACAACTTTTCCCTTACTTTACAGATGAAGGAACCTAGACTCAGAAGAATTTAAGTAACATTTTCCAAGGTTATCTAGCTCTTATGACCCAAGGAGTCTAATTCTAGAGTCCAGGCTATAACCACTTCAGTACACTGGCTCACAGTAGTAGTCACAGTGCATGTCACTACCCAGTGTGATCATCCTTTTTCCTGTGTAGCAATCAGTACTCACTCTGAGAGAGGGCCCTAACTTACCCCTCTAGCACCAGGGAACAGGCCTAGAGGCTTTTAGGATTTTTATCAGGGCAATAAAGTAGAGTCAACACAAGTCCAAGACACTTCCTTTTTCTGTAGGGAGCTACACCAAGTCCAGGTGGCTGAGGAAATTTCATATTTCAGGTGCCATCATGGAATTCAGACTGGGCCTAACATCACCTTGTGTCTGAGTGGATCTGACTTAAGGGTTGTCTTAGAATGGATCTAGGCAAGGATTGGCAGAGGGTCATTTTTCAGAAAGTGGCTTCCCACCAACTTAACCTCTAACAGCTCCTCATTTTTGATAGGTTCTTAAAGAAGCTAAGTAGACTAGCACATTGCCTAGGATTCTGAGCAGGACTTGATAAGTGGAAGGTCCTTTTTTTCTAATTCATTGCTCAGTACCAAATCCAGGAAAACTCAGCACCTTCCCTTTTCTCCTTACTTCCTTTTTCCAGCAAGAAGGGGACATGTGAGGACCTAGGTAGAGTGTATGTATTCTACCTATAGCCTCTATACCTTCCCCATATGGTGGCATCCCTCATGGACTGTGACTGTCCCAAAAACTTAAGTTGAAACCCAGTTCTGAGGCAGCACCTCTACTTAGGTTCAGACTAACATCTTGTCTAGAGGAACAAGATAATCTTATCTTTAATATCCATCCATGAAATGTTCTAGGGAGATTTTGAGGGATTTTGGTTTAATCTTTATTCACCAGCATTTTCCAGGTATATTTTAGAACCCCTGAGAAAAGACCGCTAGACTACAAGACTTTTTGATCAACTTCTCTTAGGTGATTGTGAGTTAGAGTAGTCCCCTTATCTGACGGTTCTGAACTACTAGTGTGCCTGTGACCTGATAACACTCTTGGGAGTGAGCCAACAAACAGATCTGTGTTACAGGCAGTCTCTTTATAATAAACTCACAGGGATCTGAGCAACTGGCACTGAGCCTATCTAGCTTTTCTTCTCTCTGTTCTCCACAGCTGGCTCCCACTGGAAGCACTTCTCTGCTCAATTCCATGGCTATCATCCAGAATCCTGTGAAGATCTGTGATCAGGTATTTGCCCTGATTGAAAACCTCACCCACCAGATCCGGGAACGGATGCAGGACCCCAGGTCTGTAGGTGGGTATGAATACTGCTATTTCCCTTCTAGGTCTCGGTTGTGGATGAGTTTTTTCTCCCCTAAATATCTGACAAAAAGAATCTTTATATCTCTGGTTCTACTTCAGAGATGTCAGGGTCTTTATTTTATTTTATTTTTTAGTTAGAGATAAAATATTTGGCTCTGCCTGCCTTCCTTTCAGACCTGCAACTTTACCACAGCGAGACACTAGAACTAATGCTACAGCGTTGGAGCAAACTGGAGCGTGACTTTCGACAGAAAAATGGGCGTTATGACATTAGTAAGATCCCTGATATCTATGACTGTGTCAAATATGATGTGCAACACAATGGGAGTCTGGGACTTCAAGGCACAGCAGAGTTACTACGTCTCTCTAAGGCACTGGCCGATGTGGTCATTCCCCAGGTATGTTTCATATACCAAAAGAAAAAAAACCCAAACTCATTGCCATTGAGTCGGATCTGACTCCTGGCGACCCCTCCTTGGGTTTCTGAGTCAGTATCACTATGGAAGTAGATTGTCCAATCTTTCTTCTAAGGAGTGGCTGGTGGGTTTGAACCACCAGCCTTCTGATTAGCAGTCAAATGCTTTAGGCACTATGCCAGCAGAGCTGCTATGTCTCATATAAGGTGTCTTATTTATCTAGTGCTGCTATAACAGAAATACCAAAGTGGATGGCTTTAATAACAGAAATTTATTTTCTCACAGTTTAGGATTCTAGAAGTCCAAATTCAGACCACTGGCTCTAGAGGAAGGTTTTCTCTCTCTGTCAGCTCTTGAGAAAGGTCTTTGTCTCTTCAGTTTCTGTTTCCTGCTCCTTGACGATCTCCTTGTGTCTTGGCATCTGTTTTACCCTATCTCTCCTCTGCTTGCTTGTTTGTTTAATTTCTTTTATATCTCAAAAGGGATTTACTTAAACCCTATACTAATCCTGCCTCATAAACATACAGTGTACTTATTTCCTAATGGGATTATAACCACAGGCAAAAAAGTTAGGATTTATAACACGTATTTTTTGGGGGACACAATTCAATCCATAGCATTCTACCCTTTGGCCCCCAAAATTCATATTCTTCCCACATGTAAAACACATTCACCCCATTCATTCCAAAAGTCTTAAATCAACTCCAAGTCCAAAATCTCATCTGAATCATTTAAATCAAATGTTGGTGAGACTTTAGTCATATTCCATCCTAGGGCAAAATTCCTCTTCCTCTGTGAACCTGTGAAACCTGTGTTGTTGTTGTTGTTGTGTGCCATCGAGTCGGACCCGAGTCATAGTGACCCTTCCTTGGGTTTCCGAGGCAGTATCACTATGGAAGTAGATTGCCCCATTTTCCTTCTGATGAGTGGCTGGTGGGTTTGAACTGCCAGCCTTCTGGTTAGCAGTCAAGTGCCTTAGGCACTACGCTACCAGAGCTCCTTTGTGAAACCTAGACTACAAGTTATCTGTTTCCAAAGTACAATGATGGAAGAGGCACAAAGTTGACATTTCCATTACAAATGGAAGAGATTAGAGGGAAGGAAGGGATAATAGGCACCAACAAATCCAAACCCCAGCAGAATAATTTGTTAGTTCTCAAGGACTGACAATAATTCTGTATTCTCTGAGACCATCTAGGCAATGGCTCTGCCCTCCAGATTCTGAGTATTGGCCACTCTCTCTGAATTCTGGTGGGAGGCTCCTCAGTCCTGGGCTTCAGCTCTACCTTCACTTGGACTGCAACTCTACTCCCTTGCCTTTGGGTGGCCCTATTCTCCTAGTCCTCTGAATGGCAACCCTATCCTCTTGGCCCCAGCAGACCTTGTTCTGCCCGTTGGATATGGCAGCCCTGCCCCCTTAGTTTTAGTTGGTGACCCCATCCTCTTGGTGCTTGTGAACAATAGCTGCATACTCTGGAACCTAGTTGGCTATGGCCCCACTCTTTGAAATTCCAGAGGTCATGCCCCCAATTCTTTAAGATTGAGGCAGCTCTGCTTTCTGTGCTCCTTCCAACAGTTCTGCTGATCTCTGAGCTGCTCCAGGGATGGTTCTTTTTTTTTTCTCTTGTAGGACAAGAGATGTAGCTCCTTTGGCCTGTTTTCTGCCTGCAGACAGTGTTCTCTCCTTTCATACTTTCTCTGTCTCCTTCAGTCTAAGCTAGTGGGTTTTTTGCTGTGGTAGTTGGTCGGATCCATCAGTCACGGGCTTAAACTCTTTAACAAAGATTGTGTAGCCAATTTGGTGAAAATTCTAGGACACATGTCCTTAGTTTGTATAATAGAATTTTCCAAATCTTTAAGTTTGTTTTCATTTTGCACAATTCATTTTTAAGTCCATCTCTTTCCTCTCACATTTTACTATAAACAAGGAGAAACAATGTGGCCCCTTTAAGATCTTGCTTAGAAATTTCCTCAGCCAAGTATTTAAGTTCATTACTTACAAGTTCTACTTTCTACCAAACATTTGAACTTAATTTTGACAATTTCTTTGACAGTGCATAAAAAGCATCATCCTTTTTCCATTGTCCAATCACATGCTTATCATTTCCTTTTAAAACCTAACCAGCAGAACATTTAATGTCTACATTTCTAGCAACATTCTGTTGCTGGTGCCATATGTATTCTCTAAGACAATAGAGACTTTCTGTATAGTTTTCCTCACTTCCTTCGGAGCCCTCACCAGAATTGCCTTTGATGTCCATAATTCTATGAATAGTCTTTTCAAGGCAATCTAGGCTTTTACAATTAGTCATCTTAAACCTCTTCCAGCCTCTACCCATTACCCAATTCTAAAATGGCTTCCACATTATAGATATCTGTTGGAGCAGTACCCCATTCCTCTAGTACCACATTCTGTCTTAGTTGTTTAATGTTGCTTTAGCAGAAATACCACAAGTAGATAACTTTAACAAACTGAAATTTATTTTCTTGCAGTTTTGTTGTTGTTGTTGTTATGTGCCGTCGAGTCAAACCCGACTCATAGCGACCCCTCCTTGGGTTTCCAAGGCAGTATCACTACGGAAGTAGGATTGCCCAAATCTGAATTCAGAGTGCTAGCTCTAGGGGAAGGCTTTTTCTCTCTGTTGGCTCTAGAGGAAAGTCTTTGTCTCTTCATCTCTTCATCTTCTGCTTTCTGATTCCTTGAAGATATTCATGTGTCTTGTCATCTATCTTACTCCATCTCTCCTCTGATTTCTTGTTTGTTTAATCTCTTTTATATCTCAAAAAAGATTGACTTAAGACACACCTTGCACTAATCTTGCCTCATTAACATAATAGTGAACTCATTCCCAAGTAGGATTATAACCACAAGTATAGAAGTTAGAATCTACAACACATATTTTTTGGGGGTACAATTCAGTCCATAGCATGAGGAATCCAGCCTAAGATGGGGACATTGGGGAGGGAGGCAGAGAAAATGTAGAAAGGAGGTGTGGTATGGGAAGCAGGTGAAGAAAACTTAGAGAAGGATTTGGTTGAGTTGCTACATATCTCCAGGTTCACTCTGGCCCTAGGAAGTACAGGAGACTGACTGTGGAGAAACCTGAGAGGGGGAATGTAGTGGATATGAGAGAAGCCCTAGACCTGAGGTAAAGACAGGCATGATCTTGGGCCTGGGAGGATGAGGCAAGAGGAAGAAATGATTCAGTGAGGTGCTTATTTCTGGTCTGTGACACTCAGGAGTATGGGATCAGTCAAGAGGAGAAGCTGGAAATTGCTGTCGGTTTCTGTCTTCCTTTGTTGCGGAAGATACTACTTGACCTGCAGAGAACCCACGAGGATGAGTCTGTCAACAAGCTGCATCCCCTGTGAGGGAGGGCTGGGAGGGGTGCTGGATGGAGGGAGGGGCATGTCAGGGAGTCCTAGGGGAACCAAGGTTGGGACAGCCTGGGGAACCAAGAATAGATGAGATCCTGGGACAGAAAGAAGAGAAGTCTTTGAAGTGGGAGGAGGGAGTTTGTGGAGGGGTGGAAAGAGGATTATGAGTGTGTGAGTGACTTAGCTATTATCTCAGGTATTCCCGAGGAGTGCTTTCCCCAGGCCGCCATGTTCGAACACGTCTCTACTTTACCAGCGAGAGCCATGTCCACTCCCTGCTAAGTGTCTTCCGTTATGGAGGACTTCTTGATGTAAGGATCTTCTTCTGAATTCAGTGTGTAAACATATTTTCTCAGCATTCTTTTATGTTCCTCTTCTTCCTCCTCATGATTCTTTTTTTTTTTTTTTTTTTTAAACTGTAAGCTTTCTCTGTGTTCCTATCCATTTGCTGACTCTTGGCCTTGGACCTTGACTTACCTCTTCTTGTGTTTGATAGGAGACCCAGGATGCACAATGGCAGCGTGCTTTGGCTTACCTTAGTGCCATCTCAGAGCTCAATTACATGACTCAAATTGTCATCATGCTTTACGAGGACAACACACGGGTGAGGAGCTGGCAGGGTGGGATGGGGAGAGGGTCCCTTCTCTTTACCTTTGTACCCTTTTAGAAGAAAATTTCTTACCTTCAGAATTTGTAGAATCTGACTAGGTGTGGCACCTACAGTACAGCATGACAGAGCATCCAGGAGGTTCCTAGTAGAATAAAAATATATTCTTGGATGGTGTTAAGCTACAGAGACACCATAGAACATGCTGTGGCATTGGGGATAATATGGAATTAAGGACAGTATTCCTTAGAACTTATAGTCTTTTTCCCTTCAAACATTGTTACACATGTAACTTCTTCATCTGGTTCCACAAAGATACCGTTAAATGTGCTGCTAGATGCACTGTAGCAAAGCTGAGTAACTACGACAGATAGATGGGAAGGGTTATAGAACTGGAAGTTGGAAAATCATGTAGGGTGGTGAGCTAGAAATGGTAGAGGTGAGGGAATTAGGATTCTGTAACATTAGGCTATAGTTATAGCTCTAGTAGATCAGCCCTAAGTGAGGCCAGACACTTAAACTTCAGTCCTGGGAAGGTATATCCCCTTGAGTTCCTCTCTGTTGCCCTAGTCTGTTCTTCTACCACTATTTCCAACTTCTCCTAACTGCCCTTTCATCTGGTGATGTCCTGTAGAATCCCTTATCAGAGGAACGGTTCCACGTGGAGCTACACTTCAGCCCTGGAGTGAAAGGTGTTGAAGAAGAAGGAAGTGCCCCAACTGGCTGTGGATTCCGTCCAGCCTCTTCTGAGGTGGGTTGTGGTGCTTGATTTAGGACTAGAGGACTTAGGAACCTAGTAACGGGAAAATAGGAAATGGTATCGGGGAGGTAAAAGAGTTGGGGGATTTAGGATTAGGAGTCTAGAGGATATTGACTCTTTTCTTTTCTGTGCCTGTTAAACAGAATGAAGAGATGAGCAGAGACCAAGGCAGCATGGAGAACTTGTGCCCTGGGAAGGCATCAGATGAGCCAGACCGGGCATTGCAGACTTCACCCCAGCCCTTTGAAGGCCCTGGCCTCCCAAGGAGATCACCTCTTATTCGTAACCGAAAAGCTGGCTCCATGGAGGTAATGTGAGGGGCTTGGGACAAAGACTGGAAGGGATGGAAGTGCTCTTAGAACAATATCCATGTGCCCTCTAAATATCCTTAGGCTACTTCCTGGGAACCATTCTTGGGGACCTGAGTCTTCCTGCCCCTAATGAATATGTTTTACTTAATCTCTCTTTCATAGCTGGCCTACCAATAGAGCGCCTACAAATTGGTTGCTACTTCTGAGATTAAAGACATGTCTGATGGGTGCCTGAGAAATAAGGGTATTAAAGATGAGATTGAGGAGAGGACCTATAAATAAATGTGGAAAGGCAGTTCTTCAAAAGGAAACATAGGAGAGACAGCATAAACTCTGAAGTCTGACAGTCCTGGGCTAAAATCCTAGGCTGATCTTAGAACCTGTGTGACCTTGGACAAGTAGCTTAACTTCTCCAAGTCTCAAGTTTTTTTCATCTGTAAAATAGGATTAATAGCCATCTTATAGGCACTAAATAAACAGTAACTATAATAACAATATACTTGCTATTAAAGGCCAGGGTCTTTCCATTACTTTGGTGCCTTGAGTAAAAATTATAGCTCAGTCAAGGGCAGAGGCACTTTAATTTAATCCCTTAGAGTTATTTATACTGTTATCTCAGGAAGGGAATCAAGTTTGGAGGTCTGTCTTTCTTTTTATTCTGACAAAGAGGTTTATCTGCCTGGTCCGTGTTCTGCTCTTCTTGGCATTTGTCTCTAGCCTTGGTTCTAGTTCTCTAGTTGTTTTGGTCTTTTTTCCTAGAAAGATTGTTTCCCTTTTTGGCCCAATGACACTCCTTTTGACCCCATGATTTCTTCCTGTCTCTGACTGTCTGATTTGGGTCTTGCTCTGACCTGATTAATCTGTTAACCTGACTCTGGGCCAGCTCTCTATCTTGGACAATTTTTTTTTTTTTTTTTTTTTCCATTTTATGGATATCTCAGAAGAATCTTACAACTAGCTTCATTCAGCCATAGGCTTAAAGTTCAGATTTTGAAGAAAAATGAGAAGAAAAACCTGCAATCTCTTTTCTGGACTCATACTTTTCTTTCCTGATTATTTTAAGATGAATTTGAGGTTAAGAATATACAGAGTTCTTTTAGGTGAGGTATTTATTATTTTCTCTGAGGTATAGGTATAATTTGGTATCATAGTATTCTAGTATGCTACAGGCTCATGTGAAATAGATCAAGTGGACAGGATGACACATAATCTTCCATCAATAAACTCCTCCACATCTAAATGTCCTCCCCATCCATCTGGTCTGCTAGTTTCCCCAGCACTGTTGTACTTGACCTTCTTTTGTTTTCTGGCTTAAGCCATCAAGAGACATAGGGCAAAAGAGAACTCTCTCTGTGTCATTTCTCAGACTTAATGAAATTGACTTCTTCCCTTCAGGGTTGCAGAACTCTTCCTATTGTAATCTCATTCCTTGCTTTCAGTTACTTGTGCTACTTACACCCTGGATCATCTAGAATAATGGTTGCCTAGGACATGCTCTTAAGCTTTGCAAGAAAATCTTCTCTCTGCTTCTTGGTCACACATCTTCTAATATTAATAGACCTCCTCTTGCTCTATAACTCTAAGCATTGGGCAGTCTTATCCTTGTCACCTACAAGCCTTCCCCTATCTCTTCTTTTCCTCTTGTCATCTTACATATTTGGACTGTTTTAGATTACAAAACCTGTGACCTTCACAGCAGCTGTGCCCTAGGTGTTCATCCTCTCTAGCTCTGTAACTAGCTCTGTCCTGAGGGCACTGAGGCTGTCTGGAGCATGGGGGTTAAAGGGACCGTGACCGGCTTTCCACCCGGTCTGATTGCAGGGCATGAACATGCAGTGTACGGGGAGCCTGGACCTGATCCCCTTGCGGGGACGGCGCCGCCGGAGGTCAGGAGACCTGCCCCGGCCTTCCCCAGCCATCGGCCTGCAGTCTCGGGCTGTGTCCACCACTCACCTGGCGTCCTGCACACAGGTGTCCCCTCCCTACCTTTCCTTCCTTTTCTGCCTTCTGTCTTTGCCTTTTGGGTTCTAGGGACTCAGAACATTACCTAAGTGGGGTGTGTGTATGTTGGGTGTTGAATGATTTGGCCCTCATAGGCTTTTTGAAAATCTGTTTCATGTCTCCAAGAGTGAGACATTTAGTGTGGAGGGCTTCTTGGTTCAGATAAGAAATTGAGTATGGTTGTAGCCATAGCTGTCCATGGAGAGGAGAGAGGGTAGACAGACTTTATTTCTTGTTTGTACCTAAGTTGTTATGATAAGCTTTTTGAGTCCTGGGGAGAGAGAGAAAAAAATTAGGGCCTGCTCTGCTGAGAATTAGGAAGAGTTGAATAATGATTTGTCAGATTTGGAATGGGAAGGGCTGGGTGACACCAGAGGCATCTTGGAAATAGTGCCTTCTAATATGCAAGGCTTCCTTGGGCAGTTTCCTCCACAAAGTACACTCTCCATTCCCTTTTCTTTCTTCTTCACCCATCAAAATCCTTTGATTCTCCTAAACTTTCTGACACTGCTTGGCTTTGTAGGGGCAGGAATTCAGGACCTAGGTTTTTGAGTTCTGTGTTGATGTGGAAAAATGGTGATATATAGACCTTTTTTGGCAGGTGCTTTCTGAGACTTCATCCTCAAGACCTGGTGGCTACCGGCTCTTTTCCTCTTCAAGGCCACCGACAGAGATGAAGCAGAGTGGTCTAGGTATGATTTTGTGGCATCTCTCACTTGATTTTGGGAAGGGGTATTTATCTTTTTTTTTTTTAATAGTTTTATCTTGGGGAGTCTTTATTGTAGGAGCTGGGATCATCTAGTCAGCAGTATTGTCAGGTGGGAGGAGGGAAGATGAATTGGGAAAAGCCATCTTTAGGTGTGAACTTTGATCCCAGATGATTATTTGCATTCCCAGAAGATGTTTGTCTTTTAATTTTCTACACCAATCCCATTTCTATGGCTCAAGGCCATTTTTCTGGCTTCCCTTCTCATTCCTTATCTGTCCTTCTAGCCTAGCCCAGTCCTTAAGGGACCCTGGAGACTCTGAACCTTTAGAGTTATCAGAGACAAAGCTATAAATAGAGGTATATGTGACCCCTGTAAGTGTCCTATTCCTCATTTGGAGAACTTGTTCCATATCTTCCTCTGAAACCTATGTTTTTCACATCCCTGCTCTGGCCCTCCCACCTCTGTGCCCTCTCTTCCATCCTCTCCTAATCCAGTGACTCTTTTCCTTCCTTCCTGAAAATTAAAAGGTGAATCTGAGACTGGTACAGTGATAGAGGCTTCTTTCAGGATTTTGAGGGAATGTCTCTTGATTTTTTTGATGCCGAGAGAGGAGTGGAGAGCATCATCCAGCATTTCCTGAGAAAAATAGACTACATGAAGACTAAGCCTCAGAGGATATTATATTTTTTGGGGTGGAGGAACTGGTGCTTAGGAGGGGCTATCTCTGAACACAGTGCCTTGTGAGTTGGGACTAGAAATAGTGGTTAAAGACAATTGTCTGAGGTCTAGACTTGGTCCTCTTTTTTTTTCCTATTATATTATCCTATTATTCTCTCCATTTAGCTCCTCTTATTTTTGTTACTTTTGTCCTTGGTACCTTTTTTTTTTTTTTGCCCCTAAATGGTCAGTATTTGGTCCAGCAAGGGGAAGAAAGATTTTGATAATTTTCTGTCTACTAATTTTACACAGATAGGTTGCATTCCAGATACCTGAAATGAAGTGGATGATTTGGGACATGAGAAATAAATGACAAATGTGTAAATTTATAATACAGACTTTTCTTCCCAGAAGTCTCAGAAAAAAATAGGTTACTAAGGTAGTCTGAAAAAAGTGATGTGTATCTGGCCTGGTTAAGTAGGGGTACTGTCAAGAGCAAGCCAGAGGAGTTGACCTGGGACTAGTTGACAGATGGTGGTGGTAAGGTAGAGACAACCCTCTGTGATGATCTGAGGACTGGGCAGATCGAGGTTGGCAGAACTGTGCCAGGAAATTACTCAGAGGAGGAAGTAAATGTAGAACAGAGCTTGGGGTGCTTTGGGACAGAGCCAGCTCTTTTTAGCTTCTCTGAAGAAAGGCAGACATATTTAACAACCCTTATTTCTTCTGAAACTCTATTCCAGAGCCTGTTTGAGCATAAAAGGTAGGAAACATCATTTCATAGAGGAATTCTAGGGTGGATATTATCACCATTTGAACTTTCTAATTTCTGTGGTGACCCTAAAATCTTGGAACTCCTAAAACCGTGGCCCCTTCTTTGTGGGCTCAAAGAAAATTGGCCTCCTCTTCCTGTATCCTTTTCCCCTGAATGTCAAGTTCCCAAGGTAAACCCTGGGTCTTGGATAAGATGGGTTTGGAAGTAGAAGGGCAAATCCTAAGAACTTGGGTGTCAGCCTTGTCTCTATCTTCCCACTCTGTCCTTATAGGCTATAGTTGGAGAAGGGACCATGGATTCCTAACCCTATTCCAGATCAGATACTAGGGACAGTACAACCCTGATTAATTTTCTTCAGAGATTCTTTTAGTTTTATTTACTCCTCTGATTGGCAATGGAGCTCTCTTTTCTCTCTTTGAACTTGTGTGTGTGGGTATCTGACTTTAGGATAAGGGTTACAAGACAGAAAGTAAACTTTTGAGATCAGAAAACATGTTTTTTTTTTTGTTATTGTTTCTTGCTCATTGGGCCCACCTCTTTAGTTCAATGCAGTAAATGTGCTCTACATATAATCAGTTGATTATTCAGTTTGTCTCCTTCTTGTCTTCAGAAATGATACTCTGTTTCCTCTTAATGAAAATATTATTTTCTGAGTTCGGTCCTTAGAAATAGAAGACCAGATTCTAGGCCAGCTTAGCTCCTAACAAACTGTGTGCCTTTAGCAAATGAGATAGATCCCTTTTGGAGCTCTAGAATGAAAAAATTGAACAAGATAATCTCTGAGTCCTTTATAGCTTGAAAAATTCAATGAGTCTTATATTTTCTTTCTGGGGAGAGATGAAAAGGCCTGAAAGGAGGAGGTAGAAGGGAGGGGACACTGGATAAAGAACTTAAGAAGAATTGGAAGGGTACTAGCTGAGTTCTCAAAACCTAGTGTCTAGTTCCAATCAAAGCTCTTTACTTTTAAACATACAAGGGATTAGATTTCTGGGTTCCTCAATCCTTATAGGAACTCTGGTAGCATAACGCCTCAGTCATTTGACTGCTAACCAGAAGGCTGGTGGTTCAAACCCAACAGCCACTCCTCAGAAGGGAGGTTGGGCAATCTACTTCCATAGTGATACCACTTCTGAAACCCAAGGAAAGGTCACTATGAGTCAGATCTGACTCGACAACAGTGAATTAGGAGGTCTGGTAGCATAGTGCCTAAGGCACTTGACTGCTAACCAGAAGTCTGGCGGTTCAAACTCACCAGCCACTCCTTGGAAGGAAGGTTGGGCAATCTACTTCCGTAACGATACTGCCTCGGAAACCCAGGGAGGGGTCATTATGAGTCGAGTCCGACTCCATGGCACATAACAACACAACACAACAACAATCCTTATATCCAGGATAAGGGACATGGAACTAAATCTAAGGAGTTCTACAGAAATCTACCTATTCTTTTGGCATTTCTGAGAACCACCTGGAGAGCTTAGTCTAGTCTATCACTTCAGGTAGCTTTGAATCCCCTAATATGACTAACCCTGCATTTGTAGTGGCCACTTGTCTCTGCCTTATAGCCTCTTCAGGAGAGCCCCTACTTTGTTTGTCCAGTATGGCTATGGGCAGTAGTGAAAGCTAATTTGTGGTTATGTGTAGTGACCACATGGTGGTGGCTGTAAGTGGCTGTGTGTGTGTGTGTGTCTTGATGTTGTCGTGTGAAGTTGTGTGTACTTCTGTGTAGTAATTGCAGCTTTGCGTGGCTACTAATGCACTCCCGGCCTTGCAGGCTCACAGTGCACAGGGCTGTTCAGCACCACAGTGCTGGGTGGTTCCTCCAGTGCCCCGAATCTACAGGACTACGCCTGCAGCCATGGCAAAAAGCTACCACCTGCCAGTCTGAAGCACCGAGATGGTATGTGGGTGGGTTTTTTGGGGGGCAACTCCTTTCTTCATTTGTCCCCCAGCAAAGACACAGCTCAAGAACTGTTCATGCTCATGATGGCACTGACACTGACCTTATAACAGAAGTTTTCTTCATCAATTTTAGATGGGAGAAGGACTCAGGACCCCATCCACCCCTCCATTTGCATTCCCTCTTGCCATACAAATACTACTTATTTATGCTTATCCCTTCATACAGCCCTGCTATGTCAATGTACTCCACCTTTGTACTCTTTCCTGGACTCTGGTCTGTAGGGTAAGGACCAAGGAGGATAATCCATGGTTAGGAAGAATGCAGTGGAACTTTGATTAAAATCTAGGAAAGGTTTAGGAATGGGGAAATTGCTCAGCCAAGGCAGGAAAGATGATACAGAAAGAGATTGGGGGATGGGATGAAAGTTTCTATAAAGATTTTATTTTCAAATGACCAGAAAGAGAACGTGGTGGTGAAATTAGGATTGTTTGTGGGGACGTCTTGTGGTAGAGATGACACACAGATTCCTAAGAGGAGATTTTTTTACCAAGGGAAAAGGTTGAAATGTAGTCAGGAAGCTGAGGGGTGGGGGTGGGAGCACTTCATATAACTAACTGTAAAGAACAGAGTATATTTTGGGCAGATTCCAGAGTAGAATGTGGGGACAGGGTGGGTATAATCCCCATGATGTCTTTTCTCCCCAGAGCTCTTGTTTGTCCCGGCCGTAAAACGATTTTCTGTGTCGTTTGCAAAGCATCCGACTAACGGTACGTTTGCTTCTGACTCAACATCATTCCTCTTCATCATGTCATCTTGACACTCAACCTCTAAGTTCCGACACTGATTTTGTCTCTCCTTGCACTGTGTGGACACCCTACTGTCTCTGAATGAGTCACTCACTAAGTGTCCCTCCTGGGACATTTCCCTTGTTGTGACAACCTTAGCCTTGGCTGTAGCCTGGCTGTCCTGTATCTGTGGCAACTCAAGGTCTTACTTCCATAACCACCATCATCACCATTCTGTCACTTTTGTCAGCATTACACTAAAATATTTATTAAGCCTCTCCCATTTCCATCACATGACTGCTAGACTTTATACAAACATGGTAATGGTTCCCCTTCTTAGGAAGATTTATTTCCTAAATCATCCCCATTTCTTCTCCCTCTACCCCCTAGCTCATATAATTTTGATATTTCTCTTTTTTCTTCAACTCTTTTCTTGGGGTGGAATGAAAAGTTTGTTCCTCTTTTGGAGTAGTGCTGCAGTTGCCAGCTCCCAAACCTACTCGTAATGGTTTTGGTCTTAAGTATAGTTTCCCATCTTCATATTCCTGTATCTTACGATTGTGTGTACTTTGTGTGGCTCTCATGTGCCTGGCATCTGCTTTATGTTACTACTAACCTAGTGCCTGGCCCTAGAAATCAGGAACCCAGACTGATTTGGGGCAAAAGAAAAAAAGAAAGGAGTAGGAGGTGGTAGTAAAGGGAAAAAGACTGTACCTTAAGTTTTTCATTATAGTTTCCATGTATGCCCAGCCTACATGTGGCGCTGATTTTTCAGAGAAGGTAGAAGTAACAGGTTGAGATGTCTTCTGGGGATTCTGGGGGAGCTTAGGAACGAATAAGAATATTAAAGAACTTGGTCTGCCTGCACTATGGTGGGAGAGTTTTGAGATGAGTGAAAACCAAAAATTAGTCTCTTTGTTAGGTATGACAGGGGAACCCAGGGCTCACTCCCTGTTGAAGTTTTATCCTTTATATCCTTAGGTTTCTCTCTACATTTCTATGTTGTCTTCAATATAAAACCAATGCCATTATATTTCATTTTCTTCTGTCCAAGAGCTTCGACCCTCCAAAGGAGGTAACATAAGTCTGGCTAGAAAAGCCTCCAGGTGCTCATCTCCTGCACTGTAACCAGTGGCAGCTACTAGACTTTAGACCAGTCATGCCATAAATCTGCACTACACATTGCTGAAATCTCTCCCTGGGTTGACTAGCCTGCATTTCTCAGTTTATCCCCCTCCATCCAGGCTCCCATTTGTACCTATCATGGGAGCTCCCCAGTCAGTGTGGCATGGTTGTACCTACTCATTTAGCTTCACATTCTTCTGTCCTTCATGTGCTACAATCATCTCCAAAGTAGAACATGATGCATCTATCTCAGAGTCTTGTACTTGGACTTAGGAGACTTAATACATAGGGTCCTGAAACTTGAACTTGGAACCCTGAAATCTGAGCTAAATCAAAGATCTCCTAGTTCTCAGACTTAATAAGAAAAGACCCAAGTTCATAAAACAGATCCTCAAACTATATCATCTGCAGTCCCATAAATTCCTGGTTAGTAGCCTCCCTAGTTGAAGAAGAGAAGAATCAATTCTAACAAAAGGAGGGAGGAAGAAGGTAATTCAGGTATTGTGTAGGAGAAAGCTATTCAAGATTCCCTCCAATACCCTGAATTCTTCCTTAGGAGTCTTTTGGCCTCCTTTATTCTTATACTTGAGCTTGAAGGCTAAAGTGCTTGAGAAACCAGTGTCTGGGATCTACCTGTTGGAGCTATTATGACTCTTATGGAAGGTTACCTAGATTTCATTTGGCGCTCATTGGATATGATCTTGCTCAACTAACTCAGCAATGGAAGATTAGTCACAACAAGTGCCAACCTACTGTCCCATCACCACTATCTCTTTACCATGATTTCTAGCTTTGAAAAAGAAATTAGAAAAACTAGACCTGACCTTGGAAAAGAAGCAAGGCAATGGTGTCTCCTTAGTTTGTTGGGAGGGTAGCCCTCAACCTATCCTTGCCTCTGTCTCTGATAAGCTTCTGTCACATCTTGTGACTACATCAAATATACATGTATGACCCATTACTAAACTGCATGCTGAACTCACCAAAGTAAACTACATTTAATAGTAGTGAGAAAGAGACTGTGGCTTACCCCATACAGAATGCTGGAGTGTGCCCATTAGATCTCCTAATCTTGCCATCTCCTGGGAACCCACAGTGTGACCATTAGTACAGTTAGTGCTCTCCAGACTAGCCTGGGTAGAGCAGAAACCTGTCCTGACATCAAAAATAGGGTCTGTGGAAATCATAGCCTCATGTGGGATCACCCTTTGGGATCATTTCTTGTCTGGGTGTTCTGAGCAGTTGTCTGCCACTGCTTTGATCCCACCTTGCTGAACCACTACATTTGCTACTCTATACCAACATCCTGTACTCAAATCCTTACTCATCCTCACATCAGGTCTCAAGACTATATTTTTTTTTTCTGAAGATCTCTCCCAGCTGTTTTTTCTGCACCTTCCCCTTTCATACCCTTGTCTCTCATGCCTTTTGCAGCTGAATTGCAAACATCCACAAAGTTTGCCAAGCAACTAAAATAATGAGTGTACAGAATCAAAGTTTTTCCACTCACCAGCTGAACAAACCACAGCTGGACTCAACAGCAGTGGGAAGAAAATAAAAATTACCAACTTTTTGACCACTTTGGACTTATTGTCCCCCAATCCTGAGACTTACGCAAATACTTTTTTTTTTTTTTTTTTTTTTTAAATATATCCTTAACAAGAGTAAGGTAAAGGGTGATTAACCAACATTGTCATTTTCACATATTGATGCCATTTTTCTGTTTTAAAGGAGTCCTATACTTGGTCTCCTGCCAACCTCCTATGCCAGATGCCTAGTACCAGTCCACTTTGTGGCTATCTTGGAGTCTGGTCTGGAGGGCCTGGCCTGAATCTTCAGGAACATTTTTAAGCTTCAGACTTTATCTTGCTACCCTATGCCATTCTTGACCCTCTTCTCTGAGTGACTTTGAATCTTTTCATTTCTATCTCAACCTCATAAATCTGGTCTTCTGAGATGCAGCCTTTAACTACAGTTTTCCCAAGAAGATTAGGGACATGAGAGCTCTAGTCAAGCCCCCCAGGCACTGAACTGGCAGTTCACTCCCATCCAGAATGATGTGGTTGCTCTCTTGTAAGCACTGACTGAATTTGTTCAAGGAAGAAAGGGAGGGCCTAGCTATATCATGCAGTCTCACTAGTCCCTTCTTTAACACTCACTGCAATGTGAACACTCATCTTCCCAACAACAGATGCCCAGTGGCTCTGCTTCTCTTTTAGCTCATCTTGGCGCTGAGCAGCCCCACCTCCCAGTATGCTTGTATCAGTCAGTGCTCCCCTCATTGTATCTCCCTCTTCTCTTTCTTTATCTTTGTGCTTCCTGCCATGGTACCCCCACCCCCTCCAGAACTGCTGGATGACCAGCACCCTGTGGTCCGGTTGCTGCGCAGTTTTTCCTCTGACTGCCCGGGGGGCCGGCCAGTCTCCTTGGATGCCACGCTGGCGCATCACCTGCACCAGTGCTCCTACCACCTGCGCCTCTTCCGGAACTGGCTGCGCTCAGGCCAGGATGACCCCGAGTGCCTCTACGGTACCCCCTGCCACCAAGCTGGCTGCTGTCACTACCCTGGCTGGGACTGACTGCTTTGCTTATTGCACTTCTGGCAGGAGAGCCCACCTATGCCTTTCTCCTATTTCCCCTGAGATTATGTGACTTGCATTTAGAAGCTTGGATGGATTGGGGCCAGACTGTTTGGTAGTTGTAGAATTGGCTGCTCATACCCTTCCTATTCTCCTTCCTTATCACCTGCTAACATTACCCACACCCTAGGTCTGTTCAGTTTTGGCATAATCTCTTGCCAAATCTGTTCTTATTTCTATAACCCTCTACTACCACCATCTTCCAATCTAAACTTTTTCTACCCACCCTGAAGAGCTAGAGAGGGTACCTCTCCTGCTCTCCTGCACTAGATTATAGGGAGAAATAGAGGCACAGAGATTTTAGAGGCTCTATCTGAGTCCTTGAGGCAAACAAGGGCCAGAAGATGGTCAGATATAATCTTTTTTGAGGTACTGGGAACAAGAGACTGAGTCTTGTATAGATATGCTGTCCTGCCTACCCTTGGTACCTTTAAGGAAATGTAGAAGAAGCATAGGAAAGATTAGAGACTAAAAAAGTGGTTGGTGATGCGTTTCTTGATCTTCCAATGGAAAATTTTTTTCCATCAACAGATACCTGTTATTAGGGTTACACATTTAGGCTAATCCTTGATCCTACCCAGACTGGTGGACCTACATTGGAGTTGTTGGGTTTAGAGCACAGAATCAGTATTTATTCTTCATTTTCTAGGAGGTTTGCCTCATTTCCATGATTCAATAAAGAGATCCTAATAAGTCTGGATCTTCCAGTGAGATCAGAAGGGAGGTGCTTTGATGTAATGGAAATGACCAAGAAAGAACTTCCATTCCCCCAGCCTGTTCATGCATGTGGTTTTCCTGGGCTGAGCTTCATGTACATTGCATGCCCTCCAGCTTGCTTCCAAATATTTTAGCCTTTCTACCCACATCCTAGATCTGCATGAACACCTTCTTAGATTCCATGCCTCCTTCCTTTAATATGGTTCTTTTATTCATGATCGCTGAAATCTACTGTTTCTTCCAGCTCTGTGACCTCCATGTCTCATGTTAGACCTTACAATTTCACCTCTTACCTCTGGACCCTTGTTTTAGTCCCCAGGAAAGCATTAGGAGCAATGTAGATGCTTATCCTACTGAGGTTCTGCTGATTTTTCCATGGGACATTTCAGGCTCTCCATAGATAGGATGAGAGGTGATTTGATTCACCTGGAGGCCTAAGCAGGTAGAGTTTTTAAGGAATCTGGAGGTGAGAGAAGAAGACTCCCCTAGGGGCTTTAAAGAGTTCCCACTCCTAAGAATCTTGGATATTCCATACTCTCAGGGACTCTCCATTCTTCCTTGGCCAATTGTGGTATCTGGCAAGTATAACATTGACTTTTCCCATTTCTACCCTAACAGGATTTGAAGGATGCTCCATGGTGCCTACCATCTACCCCCTGGAAACACTGCATAATGCCCTTTCCCTGCGTCAAGTGAGTGAATTCTTGAGTAGAGTCTGCCAGCGCCACACTGATGCCCAGGCCCAGGCATCTGCAGGTACAAATAATACTCTTATCTTGTACTCCCACCTCTGCCCAACTCCCGTGCTTCCTAGAACCTGAAAAAGTTATAAATTTAAAAGATAGACACTTCTAAAAGACACAAAAGTAGACTTGAAAAAAATGTTTAATTATAAGCCAAGTCAGCATCATAGAAATATCACTCCTTTCCAAGTTAATATATAATTTAAGGTGATCCCTATAAAAAATACTGTTGTTTTTGTACAGTCAGACAAATCAATTGTGAAGACCTCATTGAAAACTAAACAAGCAAAAATAACCAGGAAAAACCTGAGGAGAAGAGAAATGAGGGAATACTAACATATATTAAAACATACTTTAAAACTTCTATAATTAATACAGTATATTATTGGTACATGACTAGATAGAAAGATCAATGAAACAAAATAGAAAATCTAAGAATAGATGAAGTTAAAACAAACAAACAAAAAAAAACAATTCATGACAATCCCATGTGTTACAGAGTAGAACTGCCCTCCATAGGGTTTTCAAGGCTGTGATGTTTTGGAAAAAGATCACCAAACCTTTCTTTCAAGGATCCTCTGGGTAGGTTGGAACTACCACCTTTTCAGATAATAGTTGAGCACTTAACTCTTTGTGCCACCCAAGACTCCTAGATGAAGGTAGCATTTCAAAATACTGGGGAAAAGATAGACTTTTTAATAAGTAGAGTTTGAGGTGACTAGCCTAAGCTTTTACTTATTTATTTGTTACTGTGATTTGGGTGAAAGTTTACAGAGCAAATTCATTTTCCATACAGCAGTTCATATCCATTTTGTTTCATGACATTGACTGTAATCCCCAGTGTAATAGCTCTCTTCTCACTTCCTCCCTGTAGTTACCTCTTCCCTGTGTCCTTCCTTCCTATGCATTCCTGCCCCCTGAGCTGTCCCCCTGTGTAAATACTGCCCTTCTGTTCTCCCATGATTGACCATTCTAAGGAGTGTATCTGTCTGATGTAAATATTCACCCCATATGCCCGTCTATTGTTTGTGAATAGGCTGAGATTTTGCCTCTACCTGAACTCTAGGCTTAGTACAAAAAAACCAAACCAGTGCCAACGTATAGTGACCCTGACTGGGTTTCCAAGGCTGTAAATCTTTATGGAAGTAGATTGCCTCATCTGCCCTCCCACAGAGCAGCTGGTAGGTTTGAACTCCCAACCTTCTGGTTAGCAGCCAAAATGCCTTACCCACTATGCCAGCAGAGCTCCATAAGCTTAGTACAAGCAGGAAGTAAAGGCTAAGACAGAGTTATAAATAAACTGGCACAGAACCAATCTTCACAGACTGGGAGAGTTTTCTTTTTTTCTTGCTCTCAACTCTGGGCATTCAAGGAGATCTCTGTCAAAACTAGCTAGACACAAGCTAAGGGAACAGAGACTTCAGAGATCATATGTGACAATGAATATAGACTTTACAAAACTAGTTTTTAAAAAGTCACAAAACAAACAAACAGCTATACTCCACAAAAAGCAACAAAAATAAATTCTGAGGAAGGGGAAGAATCTGTTTTTCAGATTCATCATATCATAATATTCAAAACATCCAGTTTTCAACAAAAAAAAATTATGAAGTAAACAAAGAAATAAGAGTCTAGTTCATTCACAGATGAACAGAAATGGTTCCTGAGAAAGCACAGGCATTGGACCTACTAGACCAAGATTTTAAAGCAACTCTAGGAGCTCTGATGGTGCAGTAGCTAAAACAGAGGGCCCTTAACCAAGATGTCAGTAGTTTGAGCAGGCACTCCATGGGAGAAAAATGAGGCAGTCTGCTTCTGTAAAGATCTAAAGCCTTGAAAACTCTATGAGGTGGTTCTACACTGTCCTATAGGGTCACTATGAGTCAGAATCAACTCAATGGCAGTGGGTTGGTTTTTTTTTTTAACATATGCTCAGTGAACAAATATGAAAGCTAAAGCTATAAAACTCTTAGAAGAAAACATAGGGTTAAATTTCTGTGACCTTGGTTTTGCAGTTGGATTCTTAGATACAATACCAAAAGCAAGAGCAATGAAAGAAAAAAGACATAAATGGACTTCATCAAAATTAAAAACTTTTATGCATCAAACATTATCAAGAAAGTTTGAAAAGACAACCTATAGAGTGATAGAAAATATTTACAAAGCACATGTTTGATAAGGGTCTGGTACCCAAACATGAATTGACTTGATGACAACTATCAACAACAACATCCAGAATATGTAAATAATTCCTAACAACTCAACAACAAGACATAAAACCCAATTAAAAAATAGGCAAAGGACTTGAATAAATATTTCATCAAAGAAGATATACAGATTGTCCAACAAGCACATGAGAAGATGCTTATCATCATTAGACATCAGGAAAATATAAATCAAAACCACAGTGAGATGCAATTTCACACCCACTAGTATGACTGTAGGAGCTCTGGTAGCATAGTGCCTAAGGCACTTGACTGCTAACCAGAAGGCTGGCGGTTCAAATCCACCAGCCACTCCTCGGAAGGAAGGTTGGGCAATCCTACTTCCATAGTGATACTGCCTCGGAAACCCAAGGAGGGGTCGCTATGAGTCGGGGCCACCTCGACGGCAAACACCACCACCACCACCACCACCAGTATGACTGTAATAATTTAAACAAAATAGAAAATAAGAAGTTGGTGAGGATGTGGCAATATCAATATGAATTCCGTTTTTTAATGCTTTTTCTAACACTGTGCACTAAAAACTGTAGCAGTGAGCACCTTTAGCACCTAGATTTTGATCTCTACATACCGTTCACCACTAATAAGAATGAAGACTCCTTGGGAAAATGACTAATTCTTGCTCAAGCACAGTTTTGTTTTTTTTTTTAAATAAAGGCTTCTCTCCACATGGACCCATTGTAAAAATTTTTCCTAGTCATTTCAACCCCATGAAAATTTTACTATTACTGATCTGCTATATATTCTGTATATACTGTAGCCTTTTAAACATCCAGTAACTATTGTAATATCTAAGATTTTTTCACTTCTACCAATCACCAATTATGTTTAGAATGCATGGTCTGGGGCAAGGAAAGTACAAAACTATACAAAAGTCCTGGAGCATCTTGTAGCAGAAAGGAAGGAAGTAATCAAGACTGAAGGAGCTCCCACTAGCCAGAATTGGGACAATTAATCATTAAAAAGAATAACTGCTATAAATGTTTGGAGTACACTGAATATATAAAAATCCCATGAGCCCATAATAAATCTTACAAAAAAAGAAGCAAAAATGAAATTCAGTAAAACACATCTGCCATGATTGGAGATTTTTCACCAACTCTTTACTCAAACAAAATGCAGTTTGTGGTCCATGTTTGTATCTTGCTATAAAAGACATTTTGGGAATAACTGGAGAAATTTAGGTATGGACTGGTATTAGATGCTATGAGGGAGTTATTATTAATTTTGTTAGGTATGTTAATGGTGAGTGGCTTTGTAGGAGAATTTTCTTATATTTTAGAGATGCATATTGAAGTATTTATAGGTGAAATATTTTATGTCTGTCATTTATTTTAAATAACTTCAGCATAAAGAAATAGATTAAACAAATATGGCAAAATGTAAACATGTTAAATGTAGGAGATGAGCATATGCACTGATCTTTGAACTACTTTGTTAAATGTATTTGAAAATGTTCATAATATAAAGTTTGAAAAACTGAAATGGCTAGGGTAAAGGATCTTTAGGAAATGCTGCTTTTTAGCCTGAGGAGATACAAGTTGGCTTTGATTGTGTTGAGACCCTATGGCTCTTGCACACTCCCTCACATGCTTTTTTCTTCATTTTTCTCCTATCTATCCAGCCCTTTTTGACTCTATGCACAGCAACCAGCCCTCAAATAGCCTGTTTTCCCCACCCCGTACTCTTCATTCACCTCCCCTGCAACTCCGACAGCGCTCTGAGAAGCCCCCTTGGTGTAAGTAAAACTTTTGGAACTGCCTAGGCAAAGGGTAAGGGGGATAGAAGGATTGTTGAATGTGGGTCAAGAAAAGAGTTGAGAGATGTGGACTATCTAGTTGGAAAAATAGTCTTGTCTGCTGCCCTCTCTATCTCATTGGAGATGCTCATAAAAGATAGGGGCCCAGAAGACCTTCTGGGAACAAAAAGGTGGAAGCTTCATTTTTCTCAGATCCTCATGCGGTATCTAAAGCTTTCTTGACAAAAGATGACTATAGGTAGGCAACCTAGATAAATGGAAAAGCTGGGAACAGAAAACTAGAATCTGCTTCTTAGCTCTATATGTTCCTTCTCTCTAGTTGTCTATTATCAGTTGTTAATTCAAACTGATAAGTACCCTTTTCCTTCCATCTCCCCTTTATTATCTATAGCTTATCACTAATTATTCTTGGTAATAGTTGTGAACAGTAGAGCCACAGGGATTCTTAGAGTGATTGTAGGGAGGCAGAGATACCAGTGGTAATCAGACCAGAGACACTGGTAATAAAAAATTCTGTCCTTCTTCACTCTGCCTCAAGGGAATAACTGAAATCAAACACGGCTTCCATTATTTTATTTGTATAAAACTAAAGAAGGATTCATATTTTAACATTGGGATAATCAATTGTAGAATCTTGCCCTTCTTCTGGCACCCTTTAAGAGGGAGAAACTTTGTTCCCTGACACCAAGAATTATCTCCTGAATTTCAGATTATCCTGTCACCTTGCCATTGCCCCTTTCACCTCTTTCTTGGAGTGCATATGAGTTCTGTGTCCCTAAAAATCTTTCCTTCTCCCTTTTCTGTTTTTGTCTGGCTTTTTTGATTTGTCTCTATCAAACCACTAGCTGGATTTTAAGGCAACTTCTGTCTTTGGATGAAGCTCAGCTTATAGCTTTTTTTTTTTTTTATTTTTTTAACCTATTATCAAGCATTTGACTTTATATCAAACATATAGCCTCATTGGTAAACATCTTTAGGGTCTTTGTGCATCAGAAATAGGCTCTCTATTTTTTTTTTTTTTTTAATTTTACTTTTTATTTATTTATTTATTTTTAGCTGTATATTTTTTAAAGTCTCGTTAGCCCAAAACTATGTTCCTCTTTTTTTCTGTCTGAAGCATGCCTCCTCTGAGCCTTTACAGAGGAGATAGCTGACATACCTTAAATTCATGACTAATGGATCAGGCCTTTCTGAACTCAGTCTTGCCAGCTTTGCCAGGTACTCTTTGCTGACAAGATATTGGTACCCATGAGTACCCTGCTTCCAGAATTATTACTGATACGAGAGTGCATTAAATATACAGTTAGAGTAACAGTTAGGGAAAAGTAGGTTAGTCTCCTAATAAAGGTCAATGAAGAAGTGAAAGTTGGGATAGGAATTATTGCACAGCATAATTGAAGACTCTGAGGTCTTCATTATACTGCTGTCAGGATCTGGGAAATTAGTTTTGTATTTTATATATATTGTATACCCCAAGACTTAGACAATCTTAACCATGGATCCATGCACGGGCTTCAGGTTAGTCTGTGAGCCCCAGGAATTAGATGTAAAAACTAGTGTGAATATCCGTATGTACATTTTTCTGGGAAGATAGTTCCATGACTGTGACCCCTAAAAAGATTAACTGAAAACTGCTGTCATTTGGAGATTCCATGGAGTTTTGGGTAAATATTAGTTTCTTTTCTACTTCTCTGACCCACGGAAGTTTTTCTACATTCTCCTGCTTATCTCTTGAGCTATAAATAGTGATTACTCCTACCCTAGAAATACATGACCCCTGTGGGTATAGTGAAAAGCAGTCCTTTGATTATATAAGGGGAAAAAAATTTTGTTTTTTTAATATAAAAAGGACAGCTGAGTTTATTGCTTACTGCAGTAAGAGAAGAGACCACCTCATAAAGCTCTGGCAGTGTAAAGAAGTGAATCTTGACAAAAGATGTATATCAGAATCAATTGAGAATATTTTTTAAAAAATGATCTTGTGCTTCCTCACAACCCCTCGACCCCTAATCTTTACCCTAAACCTATAGAATTAGAATCTCTGCAAATGGAACCTGGGAAGTTTGAGAAAAAATTTCCCAGGTAAATTTTATGTGTAACCCTAATTATGAGCCATTGGGCTAAAGTATTTATATGATTCCAAAGTCCGAATGAGGGACCAGGAGAATTTGGAGTTGGGATGGTGAAACATTTGTGAAAGAACATAATGGGGTGGGCCTTAGCATCCTCTCTTGAAGCACTTTAGTGCTATGCCTCTAGTTTACATAAGACCAGGGTGACAGTTCCTGAGTTAAGCAGACTGACTTAGGAGTCTCTGCCTAACTTAGGAGAAATTCAGACCCTCTTTTCCCAAGACACGAGTAACAAAGGCCACTCATTCTAGCATCTGAACTACATGTGTAGGGTAGAGCCTACACTTCCAGCTGGTCTGACTCAGTCTCCTGGCTTTGCTTTACAGACAGCAGTGGCCCTTCTAGCACTGTGTCCAGTGCTGGTCCTTCTTCCCCCACTGCAGTGGATGGTAACACCCATTTTGGCTTCAGTGATCAATCTTCCCTAAGTTCACACGTGACTGAAGAACATCAAGGCCTTGGGCAGCCCCAGGAAACTCCTGGGAACGGAGCACAAGAGCCTGTAGAAGGGGAGAAAGAAACTTTTGAACCAAATCAGTCCCCACAGGAGCCACCTATGGAGACCAGCCAGCCATGCCAGGATGTCCCTGAGGAGGGCAGCCAGCCATGCCAGGAGGTCCCTGATATTAGCCAGCTATGCTGGGAAAGCCCTCAGAAGGTCAGCCAGTCATGCCAGGAGAACCATGACAATGTTAACAAGATATACCAGGAGGTCTCTGAGATTACCCTGCCATGCCAGAAGGCCAACCAAGTCTCTGAGGAAGTCTCTCAGCTTTGCCAAAAGAACCCTAAGGAGGTCAGCCAACCATGCCAGGGAAACCCTGTGGAGGTTGGTGGCCTGGTCCAGAAAATTTTTATGGAAGTTCACAGGCCAGCCCAAGAGGTTCCTGAGGAGGTCATCCAGCCATGCCAGGAGTTCTCTGTGGAGGCTGGCAGACTGGACCACGAGTCTCTTGCAATCAATCTGTTGCCTCAGGACATCCCTGAGGTTGATAAACCATCCCAAGAGTTCCCTGGGGAGATTGCTCTGCAGGCCCAGGAGGCCCCTAAGGATGTTAATCAGCAGTCTTGGGTGATCCCTGGGGTGACCAACCAACTTCCTAGAAGGGATATCCCCCAAGCCCAGTATCCATCCAGTGATCCAAACCCTCAGAGCCAGTCTCTGGCCCATGACCAGCACTTACCCCTTCCACCAGCAACATGTGATTAATTACTCATTAGTGCTATCACATTATACCAGCCATTGAGCCAGCAACTTTTTCTGTTGGCTAACTTACTTGCCAGCCTAAGGCCTTGGCTCTTACCAGAGGTGTCTGAGCAAACAGCCCTTTCTCTTGGCATGAAGCATACCTGAGCTGGATTTGGGGAGGAGCCAGTTTTATGTTCAAAATAGCCATTGGCTTCCTGCCTAGCCATTAGAATTGAATAGAATTACTTTGAGGTGGGCTGATTTATCATTCCTGCTGTGAGCATCCCAGGAAATCTCAGATTGGTAGAGGAAATGCCACTTAACTGCTGAAGACACAATCTTTTTCTGAGGAAATATCCACAATTTCTCAAGATAACCTTAGAGCATATGTGCATTCAGGGGAACTCTTGTCTTTGCTCCTCAGGTGGTCATCTGAAATATCTGGGAAAAAAGAGCTTTCTCTTTCCAAATATCCATCAGAGTCACTAATCTCTAGACTGGGTTTATGAATGTTTCCATGTCATCCCCAAGTGCCCTCTGCCCTAGTCCTGGTCCTCTGAGCAACAGCTCTTGGGAAAAATAGGTATTCAATTGCTGTACAAATTTCAGCGTAACTACTCTGGGGATTCTTGGCTAATCTGTAAAGCTGGATCTTCCTTTATTGTGGGGCTGTTTGCCTTAGAAATGCTATAGGAGAGAATCAGGTTCTATTTTAAG